AACAACAATTAAAGATTTCACAGTGGACATTTTAACAACAGGAGAAAAGGTTTCATGAAAACCAACCCCCTCAACCTGAGTATCACCCCTAACCACCAACCTAGCCTTATACCTTTCCAGACTCCCATCAGCTCTATATTTTACTTTGTATACCCATTTGCAGCCTATAGACTTTTTACCAGGGGGTAACTCAACAATATCCCAAGTTCTATCAGCCTCAAACTCCTTTCTCATAGCATCCTGCCACTCAGGGATAGCAACAGCCTGAGAGTAAGTGTAAGGCTCAGGGATGTGGAGTTGTGTAGTGGTTGCATTGAAGGAAACAGACTCAGAGCTTGAAGGACCAGGGAGAGATGCAGAAGGAGGAAGGGTAGGACATACATAATCCTGAAGATAAGCAGGAACAGTATGAGGCCTACTAGATCTTCTAATTTGAGGAGGAGATGAAGGAGGAACAGAAGGGGAAGAGGAGCTAGAGGAAGGAGAGAAAATGAAATCAGGGGAACCTGAGGAAGGAGAAGGAGGAGTAGAGATGAGAGAGGAATGGGGAGAATAAATAGGAACAAGAGAAAATAGGGGAGAATGTGAATCATCAGAAAAGTGACTAGGAACAAAAGAAGAAGGCATGCCAGGAGATGAGGGAACAAAAGATTTTGAGAAAGGAAAGATGTGCTCATGAAAAGTCACATCTTTTGAGACAAAACAGGATTTAATGGAAAAATTATAAAGTTTATAACCCTTTTTGGCAAAAGGGTAGCCAATGAACACGCATGGGATAAACCTAGGATGAAACTTGTCTCTATGGGGTGTGGGCACAGATGAGTAGCAAAGGCAGCCAAAAGACCTGGGATGAGAATATAGAGGGGCCTTACCAAATAGTAACTCATAAGGACTCTTGTGTTTGAGAAGAGGTGAAAGAAATCTATTTACTAGGTAAGTAGCAGTAAGAAGACAATCACCCCAGAATTTAATAGGAAGGTGAGATTGAAATAAAAGAGCCCTGGCAGTCTCTAACAAATGCCTATGTTTCCTTTCAACTATACCATTTTGTTGAAGGGTATGGGGACAAGAAGTTTGATGAATGATCCCTTTTTCAGAAAAGAAAAGAGAACCAGAGGAACTGGAGCCAAACTTTAAAGCATTATCACTTCTCACAGTCTGAATTTTAGTTTGAAACTGTGTTTTAACCATAAAGATGAAAGCTTTTAACAAATCAAAAGCATTGCTCTTTGCTCCCATCAAATGTGTCTAGGTAGCCTTAGTATAGTCATCTACTATAGTAAGAAAGTATTTAGAACCAGAATGAGTGGGAGTGGAGTAGGGACCCCAAGTATCTATATGTATAGGCTGAAACGGATGAGTGGACTGAATAGAACTATCAGGAAAAGGGAGCCTAGTTTGTCTTGCTAAGGGGCAAATGGGACATATGAAAGACTGTTTGGAGGATAGTCCATAATCAAGGCCAGAAATAAGTTTCATTTTAGAAAAAGGAATATGTCCAAGTCTATAATGCCAAACAACATCAGATTTATTGATTTTATTTGAATCAACCATGGTATTTATAGATGAATTATCAATAGCAGCATTATTAGACACTACAGGTAGAGAACAAGCAATAGAAGAACAAGAATTGACATTAACAGATCCAACAGGAAAAGTGACATGTTGGAACAACTTGTAAAGTCCATTGTGCAGTCTACCAAGCACCACTGGCTTCCTCACTGAAGGGCCCTGGAAAGTGCAAGCAGACTTGGTAAATTGTACAACATCATCACAATAAGACAAAAGCTTGTGGACAGATATGAGATTATGTTTAAAACTAGAGATGTAAAGAACATTATGAAGGATTAAGTCGGGAAATAAAGCTAAATAACCAACATTGGTAACCTTTACTTTATACCCATTTGGAAGAGACACAAGATAAGGAATAGGAAGAGTGATTATAACAAAAAGTAAACTCCTGATTGAAGTCATAAGATCAGTAGCTCCAGAGTCTATTATCCAAACAATGCCATTCATACTAGATAACATACAAGCTCCATAAGAAACACCCTCATAAGGCATAAACTTACCAGCAAAGTTAGCAGAATCCAAGAGAGGTGGAGAGTGTGGGGAAGCAGAGATTTGGGATTGTTTTAATAAGATCATTAGCTAAGAGTATTGATCCTTGGTAAGGCCAGGTATCACAGAAGACTCCTCATTCTCAACAGGACCATCAGAACTACCAGGCACAGAAGAACCACCAGAGGATTCATGCTCAACATGTGCAGCAGTTCTGCGAGGGGGAAGTCCTTTGTTGAACTTGAAATTGGGAGGATATCTATGCAATTTATAGCATTTTCTATAGAATGCCCAGGTTTCTTGCAATATTTTCATATGAGAGAAGACCTGGGAGCCTCAAAAGGAACCTTGGAAGGAAATGATGGCTCAGAAGTCCCAACATTGAATGAAGCATACTGTGTGGAGAATTGGGAGGCAAAAGACACATGCCTCTACTTCTCATCAGATAATAAGATGTTGTACACATTTCCAATAGATGAAAGTGGTTTCATTATTAAAATGTTGCTACGAGTTTGTATGTAGGTATCATTCAGACCCATAAGGAACTGATAAACCTTCTACTCTTCATCCTCAGCAGCCTTACCCCCACAAGTACAAACTCTAACCTTATAAGAAGTTATTTTATCCCAAAGTTGTTTGATTTTATTAAAATAAGAAGCTATGTCTAAAGACCCTTGAGAGATATGTGCTAATTCTTTCTTTAGCTCAAAAACTCTGGCCCCATCAGCCTTACCATATCTCTCCTCCAATTCACACCAAATATCTTTAGCATATTCAGAGTATTCTAGGCTACGAGATATTTCTTTTGACAAGGAATTAACCAACTATAACACCACAAGATCATTACAACGTTGCCACTAACGTGCCAGAGGAGATCCTGGAAGTGGCTTTGTAGAGGTGCCATTGATAAAGTCAAGTTTATTACGAATGGAGAGAGCAAACAAGATGTTTCTCCTCCAGCTGCCATAGCAGCTTCCATCAAATGAACTAGAGACCAAAGAGGTTTCCAGCACATCTGATGGATGTACATATAATGGATGACATGGATGTGTAAAATCATCTTCATGAAACACAGTACGAGATGCAGTAGATGAAGAAGAAGGTGTAATACAGGATTATCATTCGTCATTGAGAGGAAATATATCAATAAGAAACAATCAACGATTCAACAAACAAACTTATGAAATATGAAGAGAGAACTGGTTTACCCCCCTCTTTTGCAACCGAAAAGAGAAAAGCCTTGTGAACAAACTTCTGGTGGCTCAGCTAAACACCAACGAGAAAACCCTAGCTCGAATCAGATGAACAAATCAGCCAGGTACAGTCAAACATCCAGAGAAATAGTAAAATCCAGCAGAAACATACGACAATGAGAAGAAATCATCCAACGAAAACCAAACAAAACCCTAATCCAGTGCGAATGGAGTCCAAACGAAAAACTCGATGAAAACTAAAGAGGTTAACATCGATGGGAAGCTAATGATATGATCTACCAGAATCTACGCTCTGATATCATGTTAAGTATCGAGATTTACAGAGAGATTGACAAAATGTAAACTAGGGTTCATAGGTTGAGAGAAGGTTCGAGAGAAAACAGATATTTTCTATATTGAGAAATGTCAATTTGGTTACAAAATTGAGAGACTCCTCTTATAAATAGTGGGCCTGACCCGGTGGCCCAACTAATACAAAACAATGGACTCAATATAGACATGGACCTAAGTTACAAGAATGGCCCAAATAGTTCAGCCTTTATCTAATATTCTAATAACGTCTAAGTAAAAATGGCGGTTTTGTCTAATCCTTACCTAATAAGCTAGTTCCGCCTGTGGTCCCGTTGGCCAGTAATTGCTATTCCTAGTTCTACACTCTCTAGTAATTATCTGATAGGATATGCTTTTTCTTCTGTTACATCTTCAAGCATAAACGGATCAATTCTTCTAAAATTTTCTTCTTCTTCTTCTTCTTCTTCTGTGTCGCGTACTTGATATGTTCAGAGCAAACAAATTACATATATAGATAGGTAAACGATTTTGCTTTAGTTACTTAACTACGAGTTCTTTTATCCTCTTTATCAACTTGCATGTTTACCTTTCACATTTAACATAAATGACTAAATTTTAACTACTACCTTAGTACTTATGGTACGTTATGTGTGTTGTATATATTTTTCATGGATATTGGTATAAATATAGGATACTCTTGAGTCTTGATTCACAAAATAGATGTTCTTACTATTTATTTTTCTTTTCTGTTTTATTTAAAAAACAAAAACGAATGTGAGTATAAATCAGTTTTGAGAAGAGTTACAAAGTCAATTTATGACATATTCATGATAAATCGAAAACTAACCACGTATGGTAAAGTATACAATATTATATAAACTTATAGGTTCTATTTCTGGAGAGATTAAATTAACTACAAAAAAAACTTACAGTACTCATGTTGCACCAAATTAATAAATTCAAAACATGTGTATTGCATGTAAACATTTATTTCTTAATTAAGATTAAATTATTATGTGTTCTAATTTAACTAGATAACAAACCAGTGACCTCGATATTATCAAACCTCAACGTTTGCCGTTGAGTTAATTTTCATTCCTTATCTATTTTTCCAATAGAAGCATATTCCACGAATCAATATAAGATGATATATATACATCTTCAACTCTCTTTTTATTTGTTATAGTATATAAATTAAACGTGACAATCCCAAAAGTAATTAAAATTTCCAAGACTTCTTGTTATTTCCAAATCTGGCAATTGGCATAATTGCCGTCATGCCTTGTTACACGGAGTTTTTTCAGCTTCACACGTTTAGACAAAAAGAATGTACAAAGATCTTTGCCGGCTTATATTTTATTTATTTGCATTTTCAGTCTTATATAAAAAGAGGAAGGGTTAAATTCTCCTTCATTTTTGTGAATGAACAGAAATATGGCGAAATTTTTCTTCGTTCTCCTTCATATCACTGCGCTGTTGCTCAGCGTCCAGCAATTCGGTGGTAAGTCATAGATGTTGCCCTTTTTCTTTTTATTTTAATTTTTCTTTAAGCTAAATTTATGTCAAACTTACAAAAAAGAAAGAAAAAACAAAGAAATCATTTGCTAGGTTGGTGTTCTAGCCTCTAGGATAAATGTTTGCACTCGTTTTACCTTATAATTATATTCAATATTAACTTACCATTTAAAATTGGGAAACTACCGGTACCAGCTATGTCCATTTATAAGTAGCTTATTACAAAAATTGGTCAATTCATAAAATATTACTAATATTAGCCAAATGTTACCAATATTAGCCAATTAGCCATTTCTAGCCAAACAATGTCAAATTTTTATTTGCTTTTGAGTGGGTGTTATTAGAATAGATTGGGTACATCTTAAGGAGTTTGAATCTCAATTTTGGGATGAATTGGTGGAGTTTGAGGTGTTTTGAATTGAAAATTCGAAGTAAAAGATGAATATAAAAAAAATGATGTGTATCACACTGTGTATCATTTGTGTATCACATATGTATCATATCTGTATTAAATGTGTATCACATGTATATCCATGTGTGTGATGTGTGTGTGATACATGTGTCGCAGAAGTATTTTTGAACTCGATTTTAACTATGAATTTTGATACCAAACCAGTCCAAATCACCTCCAATCTTCCTCAAGTTTTGTATATTGACTTATCTATATGTTTTAAAAGAATTTCAACCATACACACTAATAAAAAAGGTCATTTTTTGCTTAGATTTTTGGAATCTTGTATATTTTTTTGTATTTCATCACCTTGTTTGCTACCTCATCCATGAATTTCCTTTCCGTCGTCTTGCATCTAATGTTACTAATCACGCTTAAAAATATGGAAGAAGATATTTGCGTGTGATTTTTGAAGAGAAAGAACTTTATTTATTTGGATTTTCAAATATGATTAATGGTCAGAGGTTGATAACGTATGACTTATTTGAGACATTTATGTAAGATAGGGAAAGTTAAAAGAAAAAGAAGTTATATAAAGTATAAACTTTTGTAATTCCTTATTACGAACTTCTTTAGCAATAATAACACTCTTCACTAATAAAATTAGTCGCAACTTTGTTTTCGACAAAAATAGACGCGGCAAGAATTTTAGCCTCCTACAAACTTTTTGGATTGATGTTTTCAACGGACGGAAATTCTTAGCAATTGCGATTGTTGGACTAAGCGCTAGTAACAATGTACATGTCAAAATAAAATAAACCTATTGATAACGTAGAATATCAGTGTAAAATATATTGATAGAGTAAAATTTCTTTATATCGTTACACTATATAAATTAAATACTTAAATCTTTATTAAAAGAGTTTAATTTATGCGCATTAACAATTTATAGTTAAATATTTTATATGATCATACTAAGATCATGACATATAACAACTAGTAATTGTATAGAAATAGTAAACCAATGTTAATGACCTTGAAATATAATGTAAATAACATGGTAAAACAAGATAAAATACATTGATACTTGATAGTAAAGCAATCCTCCTAGCTCCCCTAAATTTCGTTTGTGTGTGAGAATGTGCTTTTTCAAGTAACGAGTTTTACTTATTAGAACGGTACTTATTATTACTATCTTTTAGCTAATCATGTAGTGTAGAAATTCTTTCACATTATTCATGTATATATAGCTCCCTTTTGGAACCTATTTCTCAATTTTTAGCTAAATTCAAAATTATTTCAGATGGAAAGAAGGTAATGATGGAGTATATTGGAGCAACAGGCAAGCCAATAACATTTGATGATGTTCCAATAGATGAGGGCATTGACTTTCATTTCATTCTCAGCTTTGCCATTGATGCAGACCATTTAGGGAACCCACAAAATGGTAACTTCTCACCATATTGGGCATCAAACCTAACCCCAGACTCAGTTGCATCAATCAAATCCAAATACCCTAATGTTAAAGCCTTGGCTAGCCTTTCGGGTTGGAGTTTAGGTCAAAAAGTCCTTAATTGGTACTGTTGAATTGTCTGACCATATTATCTAAAAACTTAACTATTAGAAAGAACGAAACTTTAAATTATTTAATTATATTATGTCTCAACAGGTACAAACCAGCCGACACTCACCGATGGATATCGAATGCATTCACTTCCCTCAAATCTATTGTCAACACTTATCATCTTGATGGCATTGACATTGACTATGAAAGATTCCCAAAGCACAATGAAACTTTTACTTATTGCATAGGGGAGTTAATAACTCTCTTAAAGAACCAAAGTGTTATTTCTGTAGCAACAATTGCACCATATTATCGCACGGTTTTACCATACATAGAGTTGTACAAGAACTATGGGGATTTCATTGATTATGTGAACCATCAATTTTATACAGATAAAGTTAGAACACCAAGAGGTTATTTGAAGGCTTTTATTCAAAGGAGTCAACAGTTTGATAAGGAGAAATTAATTCCTAGTTATGAAGTGAATGGGAGAGGGATTCAAGGGAATGCATTTTTTGATGCTTTGAGATTGTTGGAAAGTAGTGGATTTCATGTCAATGGTGCCATGATATTCTCAGCCGATGCTTCTGCTGAGGATAATTACTACTATGAAAGAAAAATACAAGCATTCTTGCTCAATTCTATTAGTGTATGAACTATGAAGTAGATTACTACTATTTATCGTCTACATGCAAAATAAATGTGATAGAAGGTCAAAACGAGAAATAAAAAGAAAAGTTATAGCAAATAAAACGAGTAATATATACTTGATATGATTCTGATGTTACATTTTGAATTATCAATTATTGTTAAATTAGCACTTTAGATTATAGTCTATATATATTATTTATGTATATCAAGAGGTCTTCCGGAGAGTTGTATTTTGTACATGATTGTACTACGAGTCCTGTAACGATCATATGATCAGCGATGAAATTTCAAGTCTTTGATTTTTTCTAATTAAGTTTGTCTAATGTTTTTAACAGTTTTCTTGTCTTCTATTTCTTCCATGGATTGCATAACTTTGTTCCTTTGTTGCTTTGCTATAGGGGGCCATTTTAAGCATAAATAATAAATTCACTATGAGAGGGATAATTTTATGCAAAATCTGTTTAAATTTAATACTTATGTTAACCCTATTTAGCTCATGTTTAGTTGAGGCAAAATAAATGTTAATTACTTCTTGTCTTTGATCTGTTACAAACACTAATAAAAGCAACTTCGGCAAAGAAATAGATAGAGCAAAATATTAGTTAATATACAATGGATCTAATAATTGTAAAATTTAATTATCCACCATAAACCTTAAATAAGTAGTCCGAAGCCACTATACATTTTTTAAAATCTTATACAATGATATACTTGTTATAAGGACAAAAAAAAATAGCACAAAGAGATTGACAAGAACATGAGAGAAAGATATTAAAATAAACCTTCGGTCTTTTTTCCTTTACATAAATCCAAATCAGAGATAATGTTATCTACATATCCTAACTTTTACCGTCTTATCTCCATTTCCTATCTTCTTCTTATTTCTTTCTCGGCCATGTATAAAAATCGCTTACGATAGTTTACCCTAAGTAATTTTCTGGATATCCCCTTTTATAGAACAAGAAATCTAGGCAAGTAACACATTACTCTTTTTAAATTTAAAGTTAAAGTGGGTGAGAATTGGCATAAGTTTCCTAACTTATTTTCAAATATAAATGTAATGACCCAACCGGTTATTTTGACTTTTAGAACCCCGTTCCCCTAAAGAATACTCTCCGTATGTACTTTTATTAATTTATGACTTGCGGGGATAGTTGGTTCAGAATTTAGAAGTGATCAGGTTGAAATCGGAACAATTAGTTCCTTAGTTTGGCTTTAAAAGGCCAAGTTTGACTTCGGTCAACATTTTGAGAAAACGACTCCGGAATCGGGATTTGACGGTTCCAATAGGTTCGTATGATGATTTCGGACATGGGCGTATGTTCGAATCGGGTTTTGGATAACCCGGGAGCGTTTTAGCGCTTAATAGTGAAAATCAACTATTTGAAGGTTTAAAGTTTTTTAAATTTGGTTTGGAGTAGGTTTTGGAGTAATCGAGGTCTGTTTAAAATTCCGAGTTTGGAAATAGTTCTGTATGGCGATTTAAGATTTGCACACAAAATTTGGTTTCATTCCGAGTTGTATAAGTATGTTTCGGCTCGTTCGGAGTAAGTTTGAAGAATTTAAAATTTTTAAGTTGAATCAATTTGGTTTGAGGTATGATTCTTAGTTTTGATATTGTTTTACACGTTCCGAGTGTTCGAGCAAGTCCGTTTTATGATTTCAAACTTGTTGGTATGTTCGGGCGGGGCCCCAGGGGCCCCGAGCGTTAATCAGACGAGGCTCGGACTAAGTTGAAAATTGAGAGCCAAAGCTGAAGCTCCCCAGTTCTGTCAGAACCGCAGACGCGAAAAAAGGGCCACACCTGTGAAGGCGCATGTGCGAAGGAGAGAAGCGCAAGTGCGGAGAAGGCGCAGGTGCGACGTACAAGTCGCAGAAGCGGACTCGCAGATGCGAGCCGCTGACCGCATAAGCGAAGGGACGGCTTAGGGGGAAAAACCGCATATGCGATACCTTTTCTACTGATGCAGAGCCGCAGAAGCGGCTAGCTAGCCGCAAATGCGAAACCACTGCTTGGCAGAATGGTTAAAAATCGGGGCTCAGACATTTTTGAGCCCATTTTTTTCCATGTTTAGGCGATTTCAGAGCTTTTTGAGAGGGGATTTCAACTAGTAATTGGAAGGTAATTTAATTCTACATACCTTGAGTTAAATACATAGATTATGGATAGATTATAACTGATAAATCTTGGAAATCAAGGGTTTAGATAAAAAACCTAGATTTTTATAAAAATGAGATTTTAACCACGAAAATGATTATGGAATTGGATAAAAATTAGATATTTGAGTTTTTGAGATTATGGATAACATTTTTCTCCGAATATTTTTGGAATTCGGGCACGTGGGCCCGAGGTGAATTTTAAAATTTTTTATCATTTTGGATAGGGTAATTTATTTAATATATGAATTTTGAATTATTGAACATGTATCAATTATTTTATATAACTTTTGGATAGTTTGGGATTTTTCGGCCTCGAATTGAGATTTTACGCGATATTTGATCGGAAAAGTGGACTTTGAGACAAGGTAAGTCTCTTGTCTAATCTTGTAAGGGAGAAATGACCTCATAGGTAATTAAATTAATAATTGTTGCTAATTGTGGGGGGCTTCGTACGCACGGGTGATGAGAGTCCGTGCGTAGCTACTATTTATGCTAAAGTTCGGGTAGTTTAGGCTCAAATCATGAATTACTCGTGTAAATTGTATTCATTATTTAATTAAATTATTTGAAACATATTGTGAATTGTTAGGGAAATATAGTAAAAGATGGAAATCTAATATACTTAATTTTTCTGCATAAATTATTTAATTGTTAAAAAACATTGTGCATCCTCTCGTATTAATCTATCAATAAATAAACTCTCATTCCGGAGGTACATAAGAAAATGTCCTCATTTCTTGTGGAGCGGGTCGAACACCTCGGCAGTATAGATGCATCTATGGATCGCGCCGCACGTCCCTCTATAGTGTACACGACACTCTGAATCGGGCCGTACGACCTCAGCAGAAATCGTGCCTAATAATAATAATAATTATACAATACCTTGATATTTTAATTGCAACTTGTGAATTTAACTAATAGATTAGGAATTGTTTCATTCGAAGAAATTTAATTATTTCTGTTGGTTAAATAAAATTATTGTTAACTTTGTAAATCATGTTGATTTAAATATTTCTATTTTTATTTTATTTATTATTATTGACCCTTAGTGAGTGTCAAAGTCGACCATCTCGTCTCTACCTCTTCGAGATTAGGCTTGATACTTACTAGGTATACGTTGTTTACGTAATCATGCTACACTTGTTGTACTTTTGTGTAGAACCTGAGACAGGTACTATAGTTGGACCTATTGGCGCGCACCCACGATATCCAGAGGTTTAGTGGTGAGCTGCCCTTCTGAGCTATTCCGCATCAACCAGTGCTTCTTCCTGAAATTTTTATTCTGTCTATTTTATTCCAGACAGTATTTGGAATTTTTTGTATAATCTACTAGATGCTCATACACTTGTGACACCAGGTCTTGACACACACACTAGTAGAATGTTTGGATTTAATTCTGTTCTTGATTATTTTAATTTACTAAATCTTTTCATATTGTCTAATTCCTGCAAGTAAGAAGAGTTTAATTATTCGGTTAATTTTTAAAAGAGTTTAATATGGTTTAAATCACTAGTTGGCTTGCCTAGCTGTATCGTTGGGCGCCATCACGACCTATAGGTAAAATTGGGTCGTGACAATATGGTATCAGAGCACTAGGTTCACATAGGTCTCACAAGTTATGAGCAGACCTAATAGAGTCTTGCAGATCGGTACGTAGACGTCTGCACTTATCTTCGAGGGGCTATAGGGTGTTAGGAAACTACCTTTCTTCATATTCCATCGTGCAATTGATGTAGTGCTAAATATCTTTCTCTTATTCTCTCACAGATGGTGAGAACGCGCCTAGGGAAGAGCTACTCCCCCAGTTGTTAGAGGCCGAGGGAGGGCTCCAACCCGTGGTAGGGGACGAGGACGTCCCAGGACTGTTCCAGTTAGGCCGCCAGTGGGTCCAGCAGAGGATCCCATCATTGAGGAACATGGCGAGGTGCCTGTGGCAGAGCCAGCTCAGGTGGATTTCACATCTGCACTGGGATTCCAGGATGTCATGGGTCGTATGTTGCGGTTCATGGACACTATGACTCAGACCGGCTTATTTCCGGCAGACCCAGCCATATCTCAGGCGGGAGGGAGAGTACAGACTCCTACCGCACAGGCTCATGGCAAGGAAGTTGTTGTATATCAGACCCAGGGTGCACTACCCGTGGGTGGAGCCCAACCAGTGGCAGCAGCTACACCTGAGCCCAGGCCAGCTACAGCCGCCGATCCGTAGAAACTATTGGATAGATGGACTAGACTACATCCTCATGTCTTTGGGGGTGAGCGACATGAGGATCCTCAGGATTTTATTGATCGGTGCAGGGATAGACTGTACAACATGAGGATATTGGAGTCTCCTGGGGGTTGACTTTGCTACTTTTTAGCTAGAGGGTAGGGCCCGTAGATGGTGGAAGTCTTATCTTCTTGGCAGACCAGTAGATTCTCCTCCCATGACTTGGAACAGGTTCACCCGTATTTTCTTGGACAGGTATATTCCACCCTCCCAGAGGGAAGAGTTGCGATTTCAGTTTGAAAAGCTCCAGCAGGGTCAGATGTGAGTGATCGATTATGAGGCGAGGTTCTCTGAGTTATCTCGCCATACACTTATGATACTCCCTACTGAGGCGGAGAGAGTGTGGAGGTTTGTTGCGGGTTTACATACTGGCATTCAGGCCACTATAGCTCGAGAGGTTGAGATGGGTACTTCTTATGAGCTAGTCGTGGAGATAGCCCGGAGGATTGAGGGTGTGAGTCAGCGTAGCCGAGAGCAGGTTATGAGAGATAAGCGGTTTAGATATTCTGGAGAGTTCAGAGGTACTCCATCTGGGGGTAGAGGTCAGTTCATGAGAGGGCAGTCCAACAGGCCCC